ATTTATGATTATCTTTACTTTACAGATAAGGCATGAAAATCAAGCAGAGGTTGAGCCACACACTAAGGATCACACAGCTAATATGTGGTGTGTTTAAGATTCAAACTCTGGCAGTTGATTCTGGAACTAACTGAAGTGGGGGTGATTACTGCCTCCAGCTCAGCCCCCACTGCCCAGGGCAGCCCTGCAATTTTGAATAAATATGACCCTTTAAATTTGCTTCAAGTGGACTCTAGCTCCTTCCCCCAAATCTTGTGAGACAAAGCTATAAATAAGCAAGTCACTGTTTAGTGCCATCAAGCAGGCTTAGGCAGGGTAATGTCTAAGAACTTCTATGCTGGGTGTCGTGGCTCACACTCATAATTCCAGAACTTTGGGAGGCTGAGGCAGGAGGATCACTTTAGACCATGAGTTTGATGCCAGTCTGGGCAACAAGGCAATACCCCATCTCTACAAAAAATATTAAAAAAAAAAAGTAACTGAGTGTGGTGGCACGCACCTGTGGTCCCAGCTACTCAGGAGGCTGAGGTGAGGGAATTGCTTAAGCCTGGAAGGTTGAGGCTACAGAGAGCCATGATCATGCCACTACACTGTAGCCTGGGCAACAGAGTGAGCTGCTGTCTCAAAAATAAAAAAATATAAATAACAAATAACTTCTCCACATAAAACAGAGGAGATTTGGTATCATCTCAGGGGAAAATGAACAAGATGGTATAAGATCTAGAGAAGTCCTTAGATGAAGAGAATGGTAGCTATCTTCAAAGATTTAAAAGCCTTTTATAGGAAAGGAAGATTAGAAATAAGATCGGGGAAGGGGCAGATATAAATTTCAATCAGTAAAACTTTTAATAGAGAGGGAACTTTGTAACAGTTGGACCTTTCTGACAATGGAGCAGGCTATCTTGGGACCTGGAAAAGGTCCTGCTGGAACAGAGACCAGAGGATCAATGGTCAGGATCACTGCTGTGGGCAAGGGCTTGGTGGCCTGGATGGTCTTCAAGGCCCCTTTCAATGATAAGATGATTTGTACAAATGTATGGTCCAAACAGCATTGATCTGTTTACTTCACCATTCAAGTTTTTACATTCCTATTTCATCAGGATCAGACTGTCCGTCTGGACTGATGTGCTACGGTGACATTCTCTGAGATTTCGGGGGGCAGCAATGTCACGAACAAGGGGGTCGATCCAAGGAACTTTGTAAGCAGGATACCCGAGTGTCTGGTAATGTCTCTCCCTTCTTGCAGAGTTTTTTGGGGTCACTGGAAATTGCCAGGAGGACAAAGAAATGACTCTTTCTTTCTGCATAAAACTTTGTTAAAACAAGAATGAAATCATGTTGACAGGCAACAGGGAGCATTTTTAAGTAGCAACAATCCGGGGGAAATTATCCAAAACAGCTGGTGATTCCCTCTCTACACTGAGCAGTGTGGCCTGTGACCTTGGCCTACTCTCAGATTCTTCCTGGAGTTGATGGGGACACTCAGAAAAAATCTCTCCAATTTGTATTTGGAAAGAAGGCCTCTGGGGTCGTCTTCGGGAAGAAAGCTTCTCTTTCTTTAGGGTGGTGATCTTGTCAAAGTGATGCATGTATTAATCTCTGCATCCTGGTTGGTCTGTTAGGGCAACCCTACACTTTGACCTCGAGTGGGAAGTGAGGGAGAAAGGAGGAGGAAATGAATCTGGGTTGGGACAAAGCACAGAGACTGCCTTGGCTCTGCTGCATGTCCCAACACCCCTCCACCCAAAATCTCACTAGATCTACCCATTGATCTAAATTAAACTGAAATATTCCACAAATATCCACCTGTATAACAAAACTTGTTAGTTAGCATCTTTAACTGAACCTTTTAATATGGTTTTTAAAATCGGAAGCATATTTAGCAATATCCTATTAATTTCACAAGTATCTTTTCTAATAACCAAAGCTCATGAGAAATACAAAAACCTACTGTGTGCACGTAGACATGGGGTGGGCAATGATGTTGACTGCTGCTTGTCTTTAGGAAGCAGCTGTGTGTTAGTACAAAGAGCTCTAGGCTTGGAGAGGGGAGACCCAGGCTGGAGGGTTGGCCTCTCAACTTGCCACCTAGGGCAATGTTTTCCAAACATCTACAGGGAAGAAACAGTTCTTGTTCAGTTCTTTAAATCTTTAATTCACCAAAAACTGATGCTTTTGTAAAATATAACACAAATAAAAAAATAATGAAGCCCTTTTTAATGTCAAGATTCAACAGACATGGAATTATTCTGTCCAATTGCTATGAGAGTATCTAAAAGCTTGTTCTCGATGTCTGCATTTACGTGGTTGCAGATGTCAGATAAGCCATTTGTGGGCTCCTCTTTGAGAAGGTGGCTTTAGGGAACTTAGCGAACCTCCTCGTTTAGTTTCTCCAAATACTCAGTGTCCATAGGTGATGTGAGGATTAAATAAGATGACGATGACAGTGATGACAATGTGTATGTGTAATAGATTAAAAGGTACCAATCACATTTAAAATTATTATTATTCTAATTAATAACAAGAGTAGTTGCAAATGATAGCAAGGGGCCAAATTAAGTTTTTTTTTTCCTTTTGCAGCAAGGGCAGTGTTAACCACAAGTAATCAAGTCAGAATTCCCAGACACAGCGACCTCCCAGCGAATCACTCATTTCCCAAACGCAGAATACTCAGCTAAGAGGCAGGAGCAGAGAAAGCCACAGAGAGTCAGGAAAGCAGACCCAGAAGCTCCTGCCTGTGCATCTCAGTTTTGGCTTTCTGGTGATTTGCTGGTACCTCCAGACTGCAATTTTCCATGCATAGGACCCAATGACCAGCAGCCACAACTACAGGACAAGCATTCAGCTCCCAGTCAGACACACCCTTTCAACCTGATACACACACTTTCTCCTGTCACACCAGGGCACTAAGTCAAGCAAAGTGCCCTAGAGCCACAATGGGAATCCCAGTTCCTTGTTGGATCTGAGGTGGGTGGTGGTGTTTCAATACACACACACACACACACACACACACACGATCATGTGTGCACACATAATCAAGAGTAATTCAGAACCAGTTTGAGAGAGCTCCCTAGGTGGTGAGGAGTTAGGGGCATTGCTGCAGGCTTGCCTGTGGGGCCATCTTTGCAGATCCCCCTGAAGAGCAGCTGGAGGCAGATTCCAGTGAAAGAGGGAGCTGTCCTGGTAGTGGCCAAGTATTGGTAGCACATGCACATATAATCAGACCCTGGGACTCTGCTTCTTCCATCAGCAAGAACAGGGAATATATTTCCACCTTTCCCAGCCCTCCTGTGTCCTTCCAATACCTGCCACCCCTTATCTTCTTTTACGTTTGAATTCTTTTGAGTATCATAAAAGTAACATAAGGCAGTATAGAAAGCGATGAAATATAAAAGTATTTTCTCCCCACTTCCCCACCCCAGGGGTAAATGCTATTATTGACTGTATACACATTCTTTTTTTTCTTTTTATTGAGATGGAGTCTTGCTCTGTCACTCAGGCTGGAGTGCAGTGGCACGATCTCCACTCACTGCAACCTCCGCCTCATGGGTTCAAGCAATTCTCCTATCAGCTTCCCAAGTAGCTGGGACTACAGGTGCACGGTACCACACTAGGCTCATTTTTTAATTTTTAGTAGAGACAGTTTTTCACCATATGGATTAGGTTGGTCTTGAACTCCTGACCTCAGGTGATCCACCTGCCTCGGCCTCCCAAAGTACTGGGATTACAGGCATGAGCCACTGTGCCTGACCTATATATATATATTCTTTTACAAAATGTTAATGCTTACATGTGCGTGGGTATGTACATGTGTATGTATCCGTGTACATCCACACATATACAAAGATGGATATACAGCAGGTCCTTGAATAAGGTCATTTCATTCAATGCCATTTTGCCATAACACTGATGAGAAAAAAAAGCTGACTCCCAGCTGGAGCCATCCTCTATGTGGAGTTTGCACATTCTCCTCATGACTGCATGGGTTTTCTCCATCTACTCAGGTTTCCTCTCACATCCCTGAGATGTACACGCCAGGTGACATGGTGTGTCTACACTGTCCTAGGTCTGAGTGAGTGTGGGTGTGGGTGTGATTGCACCCTGCTAGGGGATGATGTCTGACCAGAGCCAGATCTTGCCTTGTGCCCTAAGCTGTTGGGACAGGCTCTGGCTAGCCACCACTCTGAACTGGAATAATTCGGTAGTCACCCAATTCGTTGCTTTTATCAATCTTTCTTAAATGTATGTACAGCTCATATTTATCTCAATGTTTAATATTAGAAGTGTTCTGGTCTTCATTTAGAAGTTTGGTGATATTTTTGTGACCAGAAATATGGCATAGAACTTAAGTCTTGTTTATATCCGTGAACCTATGGTGAAGTTGGTTTTGTTACATTTTATTTCATGGAGATTGCAATTTCTAAAAAAATTTTTTAATTTTTTTAAAATTACCTTTATTTTATTTTTTTTAAGACGGGGTTTCACCATGTTGGTCAGGCTGGTCTTGAACTCCCGACCTCAGGTGATCTGCCCCCCTTGGCCTCCAAAGTACTTGGATTACAGGTGTGAGCCACCATGACTGGCCAAAGGCTGCCATTTTCATGAACCTATTGAGGACTGTGTATATATACAAGCATATATGCACGCGCACGTGTGTCTGTGTATACCAACATTCATATACTCATACATATATACACAAGCATGTATATATATATGTATATATATATAAAAGCGTGTGTGTGTGTGTGTGTGTGTGTGTCTGTGTATGTATGAACGTTTTTCTTTCTGCTAAATGTGATTATCCTAGAGCTTTTCAGTTGGCAGCATTTATTTTCTTCCATGCTTTGACCTTCAGTTTTTCGTCTTGTTTTACTTTCAGACTTTTCCCTCTAGTGGGGATGAGCCCTTATTCACATTCCTAAGTCATGGTCCAAATCCCTAAGCCCCGCTCCCCAGCCAGCCCCTATCCGCCTGTCTTCCCTCCCGGTGCCCGCCTTTACCTTTCCAGCCTCTGCATGGTCATGGCCAGTGTTTTGTTGAGCTCGTCTATCATCCTGCAGCCAGAGGGATGCATGGGGAGGGAGCCGGTGCTGGAGGGGAGGTGCTGGCCGTGGCTGCCGTACTGCAGCTGGTGCTGGATCTGGGACGGCAGGACGGTGTGGTGGTGCTGGGCCACACCCTGCTGGCTGCTCTTCTGGGCTGTGTAGGACACCAGTGAGAGGTCTGGCCCCCCCACAGGCATACAGATCATGACTTTCTTTGGAGGTAGCGGAGGCGATAGTTTCACTGGCAGACAAGGCAATTTCACAGGGGCGCCAGGATCTGTGGCAGAAAGAGGGTGAGAGGCAGATGTGAGTTTGGGGGCATCAGAAGAAACCCGGAACACCAGATGCACTCATCTGGAGACTGAGGCCATTGAGGTGGGCCTTTCAGGTAAAATACGTTGATCGGAGATACCAGCATGATGAACGCTACTCAGCAAGAAGCATCCATTGACTCTTGTTTCCTACTCCAAGTGCCCTGGCCATCGGGCCTTCAGGAACCCAGACATCGGTGGTGTCCAATGCACAGTATGTCAGATGGAGACCTGAAAGCAGCCCAGATAGTAAGGCAGGGGGAAGGAGGCATGTGATGAACATTTCTGCTTACGGAAACCCTTGGGCCATCAAGTAAACCTTTGCTAGGATATGCAAAACTATGGTCTGGATGCAGTGTGTCCCTGCAAAAACTCATGGTGAAATTTAATTGTCAACGTAAGGATGTCAGGAGGTGGAACCTTTAACAGGTGGGGCCTGGTGAGAGGCAATTGGGTCATGGGTGTGGATCCCTCATGAATAGATTAGTGGTGGGTGTGAATTCTAGCTCTCCCGGGAACAGATTAGTTCCCAAAGGAGAGTGGGTTGTTTAAAAAAATCCGGGCTTTTCAGTTTCTCTCCTTTGCTTCCTCTCTTGCCATGTGCTCTCTGCACACACCAGCTCCCCTTTCGCTTTCCTCTGGAAGCAGCCGGAGGTCTTCAACAGCAGCAGCACATTTCTCATACTTCCCAGTCTGCAGAGATGTGAGCTAAATAAATATCTTTTCTTCATAAATTACCCAGCTTCAGGTATTGCAACAGCAACAGAAAACAAGACTAAGACATGCCAGTCTATAATATATGCCTAAAATTTTGCCATTATGATGTGAATAGATCCTTTCAAAGCTGGCACTTCCCAACAGGCATGGGATTTAAAGCCAGGCCCAGGGTCAAGTCCACCAACAGCATGTCACTCTGCTGCCAACCTTAATTCCCCCATCTGTCACCTAGGGACAACAATCCTGCCGTGACAGAATGCTTTGTGAAGATTAGTTTTTGCAGATCCTGGCTTGGGTGCCTGAGTGGGGCAGGATGAAAGTGACTGCTGGCCGGGTGGGGACACGCAAGCATGGGCTGCTGAAACAGTAAGGAGGCCCCCCCACCCAGGGCACTCCAGGCTGTTGGATCCTACCTAGAACCAACTTCTGGGTTCCATGACAACGCCACTGAAGCTTCCTAGAGATGCTCCACATTTGAGCTCAGGGTCAGACTAGTCCCCAGGGCATTTTTGGGGAGATGTTGTAGTCTGCTGCTGTACCCCATGTTTCTGGAAATCATTTAGCATTGGAGGGGGACCCGGCTGAATTTCTTGTAGGTTGCAGGCTTGCCTGGGAGAAGCATGGTCTGGAACAGCACAGCAGGGAGGAGTGGGGAGTCTCAACGGCACACTGGCACACCCTGTCTGGGGGCACCACACAATTCTGACTCTCCATCTCAGAGGCCATAGATCCTTCTCCAATGATCTATCTGCCTAGAACATGGCCTTCCTCCAGTTTAACTCACAGTCCTCCTGAAATGCCATTCCTAGAGCACAAATGTGATCATGTTGCTCCTCAGTTTAAAACCCATCTGTGGACTAAACCCTCCTGATACATCATTCAAGGCCTTCCACAGGCTGGCTGCGGCTTGGTTCATCTCTGTGTCCACATTGTGTTCTGTGAAGTCTGCTCTGGTTACTTCTGTTGGAATTAACCTTACCTACGGCACCTGAAAAGCCAGAGCACAATCTTTCCAGATTGCTTTTCTCCTGTGGATCCTACTTATTTGGTGGCTCATGGATTCAGGGTCTCCACCCTCAACAAAATTGACCAGGCAGCCTTGGCCATTGTCCCAAGAGCTGCTGCAGTCTTCCTCAGCCTCCTCACCTTCCAGATGCCTCTCCCTATTGCACTAAGGAGCTGGAGACCAGCACTCCCTGCTTCCCCACCTCCCCTTTAGTTCCAGCCCACTTTTCACCATTACCCACACCATCTACCTTCACTCCTGAGCTGCTGAGTTTCCTAAACTGCCTGATGTTTCCATAACCCCAAACCTCTGCATGTCACTTTCTCCCAGTTTGGAATATTCTCCTCTGTTTTGTCTTCTTGGTCAATTGCTAGTCGCCCTTCAGATCCAGCTCACAATCTCCCCCGAAAAGCCTTCCTTAATCATTACATCCCTCTTCCCACTCTGTGGAAAGAGAGTGGGAATGTGGATGAATGTGACGTCTGTGTTGATGATAGCAGGAATGATGACAGTCATGCCAGTCAAGACTTCTATCATGCTATGTGCCAGATACTATTCGTGCTCTTTTTATTCTAACCAGTTTCATCCTTACAAGTCTGAGGTAGAGGCCATGACTGTCTCATGCTTGCAGATGACAAAACAGGATCTCTGAAGACACTATGCTGCACTTCCTGTTTACATAACTGTCTCCTCTCCTGGAGAATAGTGACAGTGTGTGATTTACTATTGTATCTCAAACCTCAGCATCTTGTTCAGTGCCCAGCTCACATCACAAGAGACACAAATCGTGTTTACCAAATGAGCCAAAGTTACGATGATCTGCTGTGGGATGAATTCACACCTTACCTGGAAATAGATACTCTAGGAGGGAGATGTGAGCCTGAAATGGATGACAATTTCAGGGCCCCACAGTTGTGGCATACGGACACTAAACTTCTGATCCTAGAGCTAAGACATAGAAAATTCTAATAATTTCATGGGACCTGAAGAGACTGTTTCCCTAACGCCAAAATGCGAACCAATCATAACCACAAGGCTTCCGCGTGTTTGTTTCCAAGGGCTTATCCTGTTCATTACCATTTCTCATGGACATGCTGCAACGTTATCACATTCAGGAACTTAACAGGCAGTGCTGGCTAGTTCCAAAGTGCTGAGACAAAGAAAAGCTCAACACCATTGTTCATTTCCTCTTATTGAAGGGTCCGCTTCCACGGCTCTTAGAAGCCTTAGTGCAGCCAGGCACGGTGGCTATGGAAGTGACAAGAAGTGGTGGAATGTTACAATAAGCTATTGATTAACAAGATGGGCAGAACTCAATATAATCACTGCTACTTTCTAGGCAGAGAATTCCACTCTGCTCTCCTGGTTCTTTCTCCTGACCAAACAAATGAGCACCTGCTTTAGAGAACCAGAGTCTTCAAATGAAGGACTATGTGTTAAGGGTCCCTGGAACAAAATCCTTAACACTTCAGGATGTATCCCATTTGCTAGGTTTGCACTGAAGTGTCTTTTTTTTTTTTTCTTTTTTTGAGACAGTTTTGCTCATTGCCCAGGCTGAATGCAATGTCACAATCTCAGCTCGCTGCAAACTTCACCTCCCGGGTTTAAGTAATTCTCCTGCCTCAGCTTCCCAAGTAGCTGGAATTACAGGTGCCTGCCACCACACCTGGCTAATTTTGTATTTTTAGTTGAGATGGGGTTTTACCATGTTGGTCAGGCTGGTCTTGAACTCCTGACCTCTCAAGTGATCCACCCGCCTTGGCCTCCCAATGTGTTGGGATTACAGGCGTGAGCCACTGTGCCCTGCCCAGCATTGCATTTCTAAAAAGCCAGTCAAAAATAACTCTTGACCTCTAACTTCTGTCCTTTTCTCTGAACAAAAGGGCACCATTTCTCAGAGTAGGGTGCTTTGGAACATCTACCTGCAAAAGCCGCCTGATGCAAGTTTGTGCTCCTGGACCTTACTTTGGACCTGCAGAACCAGAATCTCTGGGCAGAGATTCTGTTACATTCTGTAACATTCTGTAACATTCCACCACTTCTTGTCACTTCCACAGACATTTGGGATTTAAGATGCTTCCCAGCCAGGCATAGTGGCTCACATCTGTAATCCCAGCACTGTGGGAGGCCGAGGTGGGCGGATCATGAGTTCAGGAGATTGATACCATCCTGCCCAATGTGGTAAAACCTTGCCTCTACTGAAAATACAAAAGTTAGCCAGGTATGGTGGCAGCTGCCTGTAATCCCAGCATCTCAGGAGGCTAAGGCAGGAGAATCACTTGAACCAGAGAGTAGGAGGTTGCAGTGAGCCGAGATTGTGCCACTGCATTCCAGCCTGGCAACAGAGCAAGACTCCAACTCCAAAGGAAAAAAAAAAAAAAAAAAAAAAAAAGCTTCCCAAAATCCTCAGCATGTATAAGATGCTGAGGATCACTGGCTCAGGGCGCTAAATTGATTGGTGTATGATGCTGCCTGAGGCCAGGATGCATCAATTCCATCCAGCATCTGCACCAATGTCCATCCTGAGGAGCCACTGGGATAATTTCCAGGTTCTATTTCTATGTCCCCAACATGTAAAAAGCAAAAGACCAATTTTCCCTAAACCAATTTACTAAAAGCTAATTTGCCTAAAATCTATTCATCTAATAATTACCTTGTCTACATTTAGAATGTGCAATTAAAGGATACTTCTTAAACCAATTTTTCTAATGGCATTTCCAATTGAGTTTTATAAAAATCATTCGTCATTGAGTCTTTTATAAATAAGATGTCTTATATCCCTGTGGGTGAATTTTTCTATTTTATTTCTATCTATAGAAATAAAATATTTTATTCCATTCTATTTTTATCTATATCTTGTCTAAACTTTAAGGACATTTTAGAGAAGTTTGCATGAAGAGCCTTTCTTCAAAATTTTGTCAAGCAGTAATTCATCAAGTGATTAGCTTTTCCTACAGAGTTGATTAAATACGTTTAGATTCTTCTGCCTTCTTGCTGATTTTTTATCTAGTCTCTGTATTTTGTACATTTGCTAAACAAAGAAATATATACTTAATATCCATTTCTGTTTAATGAGTCTATGACTTTTTTTTTTTTTAGACAGAGTTTCACTCTTATTGCCCAGGCTGGAGTGCAATGATGCAATCTTGGCTCACTGCAACTTCTGCCTCCCAGGTTCAAACAATTCTCCTGCCTCAGCCTCCCAAGTAGCTGGGATTACTGGCATCCACCACCACACCCAGC